AAATACTCTTTTGGCCATCATTAAATATTTAATTTTTGTTTCTTTAATTATAATTTAGTCATCTAAGATTGCAATAAAATCTAATTAATTTGATATATAATAACATGATTTTTATACTTTCAAAGAGAGATGAGAGGCAGAAGTAGAGAGAGAGTGACTAGGAAGCAAGGAAGAAAATCAACACGGACATGGGATCATTACAACAGAATAGGGAGAAGCAGAGGTTTCCAACCAGATCAAAGAATTGATAGGGCAGAACACATGTCACGCCCCAGAACCCAAATCCAAGGCATAACAAACGTCGTGCACTCGTGAGAGGGTCCTACAAATGCACAAGGCTGGGAACTTATCCAATTCACATCTGACAATCCAATAACTTAAATCAAATATCTCAAAATTATTCTATGTCCAACATTTAAGCTCAAAATCTCAAGGTCAAATCTCTTGTAAACTAACAATCCATTAAATGAATTTATAAAATCTTCAATTAAAATCTAGATTACAAGATCATGATCTATATCTAAAATCTAAGTTCACTTTACAAGATGGCTAGCCTTCTAACTCGTCACTCCTCTCGTTTTTCCCCGTCCTTGATTTCGCTTCTTGAAATGGTGGACAAGGAAAAACTATGAGATAACTCAGTAAGTAAATATGGATAGCCCGTGAGTAAAATTTTAGCATGCTTGATAAACAGTTTAATATAACAAAACGTTCAATGATAAACCGTTAATGCAAAATCAGATTCAGTTCAATAAACAAGTGTTCAATGACAAACCGTTAATGCAAGCGTTCAATGACAAACCGTTAATGCAGAAGAAAATTCAGTAGTAGTCTCATCTATAGGTCATGGCCAGCGTTTATAAACCTCCCACTAGCGGGCACAGTAGTAACCAATGTTTTATCCCATTGGCAGGATTTCAGAATGAACCAGGCCTATCAGTAAACATGTCGACATGTGCTAGCGTTTATAACCTCCCACTAGCAGGCACAGTAATACATGACCATATTAGGGACAAAACCATGCAGGATTTACAAAAGAAATCCGTAATTCATAATCAAATCTCAAATTTCAGAAATAACCAGAAAATTCCATGTAGGCATGGATTTAACAGAAAATCATAATTTACGAAAAATTCTTAAATCATCAGAGCAGTTCAGTAAGTTCCAAGTGGCATGCTCTACTCAATGAAAACGAAAATAATTCCATTTCAAATCAATCATGCTCGGTGCTAATAAAATCAATTTAAAATCAATTTAAACCTTGCCACCATCTCAAAAACAATTTAAAACATACTTTGAAATTGAAGGGCGTTACCATAATTTACTTACCTCACTCGCATAAACCGAGGACTAAATCCTTGTGCTTGGGTGACAGAACACTCAAGAACCTAATCAAAATACCCCAAAATTAATACCGTACTATCACAAATTCAAAGTGAAAATTTCATTAGGATCACCCCTAATCATGATGCTATTTCTATTAGTCTTCACATGACCGAACATCTCCAAATTTGTTCTTATATTACAAACTAAACATTTAAATCCCCGTTAATTGTTGGCCATCAGTGCGTGAACAGTGCTTGTGAACAGTAACTGCAACTTCCAAAATTGGCAAAACAATAGCTAATCACGGGGTTTTCTCCAAAAATCACAGCAGCCAAAATAAGCAAAATTTCTACATGAATTAAACTTAATTATGCTCTAATTACTACCGAAATTCATCCCCATTTTTCAGCAAAATTCGGACAGCACAAGGCAGCAAATAAATGGACAAAATTCAGCAACTAATTGATGAAATTTCGGGCTTGGAGGAGCTGTCAACATACCAGAATTTAGCAGCAAAAACCGGAGCTGCAGTTTAGGGGAAGGCCGGCGGCAATCTGCAGGGGACTCATGGAATTAACCCAAAATTGGAGAACCAAGAGAAATTAAGGTAAACCCAAGCCAATTCAAGGAAGAACAGAGGAATTGGTGGCTGTTCTTACCAGAAATTTGAAGAATTTCGCACCCACAAACAAGAGCAGCAACCGACGGCAGAGGAGGAAAGAAGCAGAGCAGATCCGGGATTTTCTCTGCAGGGGGGAGGTTTCTAAGCTCCAAATCTGGTTCTTGAACAAGAAAAGCAAGAAAAAAATAAAGTTTCCTTACCAGTTTTTCAAAGGGAGGTGCGTTGGTGGCTAGCTTCCTTGCTCGGTGCAGGGGGAAGAAAAGAAGAGCAGAAACGCAAAATGGCTGGGGAGGAAAAAGAAGAAAATCAACTTGATCCCTATCTTAAATTTTTCCTTTTTTAAGTCCCTAAACTTTGAAATTTTGGTTATTAAGCCCCAAAATAATATTTTCTCTCACAAAAACCCTTACTTAAATGCTAAAATATCACAAAATTTTGGGATATTACAATACAATCAAGTCGTCCCATTCTTCTTCACCAACTTTCCAGGGGATTGGAATCATGAGCAGATGTGGAGAACCTTTAGAGGATATGGAAGAGTTATCGACATACACGTACCAGCCAGGACAGATAAATATGGAAGATGATTCGGGTTTGTCCGATATCTTGATGTGCAAAATGTCCGCATGCTGGAAAGGGAGTTAGATCAGATAAAGGTAGGAGGGATCAAGATTCACGTAAACCAACCAAGATTTGATAGGAAAGCAAAAATACAGAGGGACGGAAGCCAAAACAATGCCGGAAAGACCATCAGCTTTGAAGCAAATAGAAGAGCAGATATGACTTATGCAGACATCCTTAGAGGCTCAAAGAAGAATGGACTTGGGAGTACACAAGCCACTGCTACAGAACAACTTATACAAAACAAGGACAAGAACAGAAAAGCCATTCACACGACAAAAGGAAGAAAGGAATGGATAGCAAAAAGCAGAGATTCCAAATGGAGAGGATGGGAATTCAGAGCTGAGGAATCAGATTTTGAATGGGTGAAAGGGAGTTTTGTGGGGACAGCCCGAGCAGTAGAATTAATCGCAACAATTCAAGAGAAATTCTACATGGAGGGATATTTCTCTATTTCACTAAAACCAATGGGTGGGAAGCTTGTTTTACTGTAATGTGCGGACAAAGAAGAGCTGGAAGACTTAGTAGCTAATGCAAGAGATTGGTTAGGACAATGGTTTGATGAAGTAAGACCATGGTCACCGTCAATGGTTGCTACGGAGAGGTTTACGTGGATAAAATGCCAAGGAGTTCCTCTACATGCATGGGGACCCGAATTCTTCCATGATCTAAGCATGATATGGGGAAAATTTATCTCCTTGGATGATCGTACAAGCAACAAAAAAAGATTTGATGTTGGTAGAGTCTTGATTTCTACACCCTGCATGGAGATGATATCAAAGAATCTCACCGTGAAGATAAATGGAGAATTCTACAATATACAGTGCACGAAGGAAGAACACTCCAACAATCTGTTTACTTTGAGGTCTAATTTTGGGATTAAAAACAAGTCCTGCAGTGATCATGATAGTGAATCTTGGTCACTTGGGTCAGTAGAAGCAGCAGGCTCCGTGAATGGGATGCTTGAAAGATCTAAAAATCGCTCTGATACTGGAGATGAAGAAGACAATGACATGGCACCTTGGCATGAACGGGATGAGGAAGACTTGAAGGAAAGGCAGTGCCAAGATATGTGGTCAACTCAAGCATTAAATGAGGCATCAGAAAATTACACTTCCAAGGAGAGAAATTCAAAATCTAGGCATGAAATGATGGGGGAAACGTCACATGGGGGTGGAAGAATGGGGCTAACGGCTGTAAATTTTGAAATAAGTAATGATGCAAGTGGGATTAACGAAGTGGAACCAATTGAAGAAAATTGTAGTTGGGTTGAAGAAACAATAGTTGAAAATAGGTTCTCGGTTGGAAATGAACCAAAAAAGCAACAAGAAGGTGGATGGAGGGGCGGTTGGGCCACAAGCAAATGGGCCAAAAAAGAAGTCCCATGTAAACTCTAAACAGACCCAAGATTCATTGCAGGCCATTATACACCTCAAGGGAACAGAGGAACAACCCAATAATGTGAGAAGTAACATGCCAGAACAGATAAAGAAAAAAACAAATGGGTGCAGCTCAAGTGTGACCGAAAACTGAAGGTCTTTTTTCTAGGAGATGGACAGCAATACTGGGACGATGAGACAGTGGATGAAGGGGAAGGTAGAATCAAAAACTTAGAAGAAGAGCAGAAGGACAAAGGCATGTGCAGTAGTTTATAAAGTAGCCAGGCTAATCAAAATAGAGGCAAGGAAAAGAAGAAGAGGAAGAACAAAGAAGAATCAACCAACGGACATCTCCTTACCAGAGTTCATCCCCAACGTGAATTGTGCAGTGGCTGGTGAGTCCTTAAATGACAGCAATATCAACAATTGTAACAGGGCCATCTTAAAAAGTAAGGAGGAATTTGGAGCAAAGGAAATTTGGGAACTTGCAAAAGAAATTGGTGTAGAGACATAGGGGAATGAGGAACTTATCCTACAGAAATTGGAGCAGCTAGAGAAAAGGGACAGGAATCAACAGAAACCCAACAATCGAACATGCACTCTTGGAGGGGAAGGTATGTTTCGATGATTCTAGTGTCCTACAATGTTAGAGGAATAGGAAGTTGGTGGAAGAGAAGGGAGATAAGGAATTTGGTGGGTAAGGAGAAAGTAGAATTTTTGATGTTGCAGGAAACTAAGTTGGGAAATGTAGATAGAGGTATTTGTAGTGAATTGTGAGGGATGAATAATTTTGAATGGGCAACCATGAATGCTGAAGGTTGTGTCGGGGGTCTTTTATGTGTATGGAATTGTGATATATTTAAGATTGATAAGTCTTTCCAGGGACCAAGATACTTGGGTGTCTATGGCTTTTGGGGCACTGAAAAGGTTCCTATTTACATTATAAATGTCTATTCACCATGTGACAGCAAAGGAAAGAATGAATTATGGAGCAAACTGGGCAACATTGTTAACTACAAAGACACAGGTGTGTGCGTGGGAGGGGATTTTAATGTCACTATCTCACAGGAAGAAAGAAGAGGGTGTCGAGGCATACAGAAGGAGATGGAGGGTTTTGAGGTGTTCATAGCAGAAACAGGGTTGATCGACTTACCAATGATTGGGAGAAGGTTTACCTGGTATCGACCAAATGGGAGAGCCATGAGTTGCCTAGATAGATTCTTAATAAATGAGGAGTGGCTTGTAACATGGGAAGGCTTGAAATAGTGGGGTTTGATGAGAAGCATCTCATATCACTGTCTAGTGCTATTGAAAAATGAGGTGAAGAATTGGGGGCCAAAGCCATTTCGTTTCTTTGATGCTTGGCTTAGGCATCCGAAATTCAAAGACAAAGTGGCAGAGGTGTGGAGAACAAAGGAGCTCCAAGGAATAGGTGGCTTTATTCTCAAAGAGAAACTAAAAGCAACTAACGTATATCTGAAGAAATGGAGCACAGAACACAATAGTGAGTTGAACAAAACAATAGAAGAATGCAAGGAAGTGATACTCCAAATAGATGTGAAAGGTGAAGCTCAAACATTGATTGAAGAGGAGCTGGAATTAAAAAAGAAGAATGAAGTCAATCTGTGGCAAAAAATGCAGATCAAAGATTGCATGGTGAGAGAAAAAGCAAGAACTCAATGGCTCAAACTCGGAGATGCAAACTCAAAGTTTTTTCATCAATGCATCAAAGGCAGATGGTGTAGAAATGAAATTAACTACTTGGAGGTGGGAGGCACCAAACTAATGGAGATCACAGAGCTAAAGGAAGGTGTCATGAAGTACTTCCAGGAACTATTCACAAAAGATGATTGGGAAAGACCAATATTGGAGGGAATTGAATTCAAGAAGGTCACACTTGAGCAAAACATAATGCTGACTGCACAATTCACAGAAGAAGAGATAAAGGAAGCTATGTGGGACTGTGACAGTTCAAAGGCCCCAGGACCAAATGGATTCAATTTCGGGTTTCTCAAAGCAATGTGGGAGATAGTGAAGGATGATGTTGTAAAATTCGTTGAAGACTTTCATACAAGTGGAAGATTAGTAAGAGGCTCAAATGCATCTTTCATTGTTCTAATTCCAAAAAAGGAGAACCCAGTACGAATTGAGGACTATAGACCAATTTCGCTAATCAGATGCATGTACAAAATTATTGCAAAACTACTTGCAAACAAAATGAAGAAGGTGATGGAGGGGTTGATAAGCGAACAACAGTTAGCATTCATACAAGGGAGACAGCTTCTGGACAGTGTAGTTGTGGCCAATGAAACCATCGACAAGATTAAGAAGAAGAAGAAAAAGAGCCTCATCTTCAAAATTGACTTCAAGAAAGCCTACGACAAGGTTTCTTGGAATTTCATAGATTATATGCTGATGCGCATGGGCTTTGACAATGTTTGGAGGAAGTGGATTATGGAGTGTCTTCGCTCAAGCACAATCTCAGTTTTATTGAATGGCAGTGCAACAAAGGAATTAAGTGTGAGCAAGGGCCTGCGACAAGGCGACCCTCTCTCCCCCTTCTTGTTCCTTATAGCCGCTGAGGGCCTTTCAAAACTATTAGCATCCGCTGAAAAAAAAGATTTGTTCAATGGAATTACGGTAGGCTCGAAGGGGCTGAAAATTTCTCATCTCCAATTTGCGGATGACACTATCATTTTTGGAGAGGCCTCGAAAAGAAATGTCAAGGCAATTAAAAGTATCTTGAGGATCTTTGAAATGGTTTCGGGACTCAGAATCAACTACAACAAAAGCAAGTTGTATGGAATGAATATAGAAGAGGAAGTCTCTCAACGTTGGGCCATATTCCTGAATTACAAAACGGGTAAACTACCGATGACCTACCTAGGCATGCCAATTGGAGCAAGTTTGAGAAGCAAGGACACATGGGCAGAACTGATAAACAAAATAGGGAGGAAGTTGGCTGGCTGGAAAAACAGGTTCTTATCCCTGGGGGGTGTATTGTCATCATAATCTCCGTGCTGACTAGTCTTCCTGTCTTCCTTATGTCTACTTATCTCTTACTTGCTGGAGTGATAAAAAAAATTGATGCAATTAGAAGGAAATTTTTATGGGGTGGGTGTGAGGAGAGAAACAAGATTGCATGGGTAAGGTGGGATTAAGTTTTTTAGGGTTGGGAACCAGGGGGGGTGGGTATTAAATACCTTAGGATGTTTAATTTAGCGTTGATGGGGAAATGGTGGGGGAGATTAGTTAATGAGCAAGGAGGCTTATGGAGAAGAGTGCTCTTAGATAAATATGGAGGGGAAGGAGGAAGCTGGGGAGAATGGATAACAGAGGGGCAGAACAGGGGATCTAGATGGTGGAAAGATGTTTGCAAAATTAATGAGTTGATTGAGGGAAAACGGGATTGGGTGAAGTCGGGTTTTAAGTTGGTTATAGGAGATGGTGCTAAGGTTTCCTTTTGGAGACAAGTGTGGATGGGATCTCATAGCTTAGATGTAATGTTCCCTCAATTATCTTATCTTTCCACAGATAGACAAAGCACAATGCAGCAAATGGGAGAATGGATAGGTGGTTCATGGAGATGGAGATTAAAATGGAGGAGAAGATTATCAATAAGGGAACAGGACCAAGAAACACAGCTTCGGAGCATCATACAAAATGTGCAAATTCGAAAAGATGTCGATGATAGATGGTGGTGGAGATATGAAAAAGATGGTGAATACACAGTAAAATCAGCATACAAGATGCTAACAACAACAGAAGAAGGGGATGAAATCAAATGTCTTAAGAGATGCTGGAACTCGACAATCCCATTGAAAATCTGTGCTTTTAGTTGGCTGTCAGTGCTTGGACGTACACCTTGCAAGGTAAACCTCCTAAAGAGGAATATCATTAGGCAAGAAGCAGATGCTAAGTGTAGTTTCTGTGCAGAAATAGCAAAAAATGAGGACCACCTACTACTGTGGTGTGATTTTTCAGGAAAAATTTGGAACAAAAATCTCGCATGGTGGGAAATCATGTATTTCATGGCCAGGAGTTGTAAGGATGCTTTTCTCCAACATAGCTGGGCGGGTAGAAACCAAAAAGGGTGGTAGGTGATATGGTATGCTACAATCTAGGCCTTATGGTCAGCTTGGAACCGTAGAATTTTTGAGGCAAAGCAAGTGTCCACTGACGAAGTGTTCCACATGGTACAATACAACTCATACTGCTGGATAAAGAGCAAAATTGAAGGTTGGACATACTCTTTTGCGGACTGGTGCAATGCTCCTAGTAGATGCCGAATAGTAAAAGTTTCAAAACTAAGATTGATAGAATTTGAGCAAGGTGAGATGATATGATGTCTACAGTAATATCATATGAAGGTGTTTTTTACACAATAGGGGTTTCCCATGCCAGTGGGTTTGATGATCGGAACAGTGAGATATGGAGAAATTGCAAAAGAAGACAAAAAACCCAACACGGGTGTGGTGTCGACACATAAATTTGGTGTCGACACCATACGGTAAGCACCTAGAATTCCCACACAGACGTGGTGTTGACACACAATTTTGGTGTCGACACCATACAGATGTAAACTTATGCTTTTCAAGTTGGGATGTTAATGGGTTTGGGGTACCCTTGAACTTCGTTTTTTAATTAATATTACTTTTTGCTGTTAAAAAAATTGATTTTTATACTTTCAAGACCTACAATTTCATGTAAAATATATACATTATGAATATAAAAAATAATTGGTACACACTCGATTTAATACACTTTTTGACACTCATCCTAGTTTAGCTATTAAAATATAACATAAATACAGTTGATTTAACTTGTTTTTGTATTTGAATACGTGACTACATTTTTAAGTTGTTTGTCTTTAATTTTTTATTAAAAAATAATAATTTTTTAATAAATATGTTATATAATATTTTGAATCGAAATATGTATCAATCACTGTCTTAAAAATAATTAGAATTAAAAAGTAAGGTGACTTAAGTGATAATTGAAGCAAGCAACAATAACCAGGATTACAATTGCATACCTGATGATTATAAAAATGTAAAAGCATATGTTTATGAAGCTTATGATCAACAGAACCCAAAAATAAAAAATAAAAAATAAAAAGGCAACAATTTGTTTCATTGTGGATTTATTGTTTTTTTAATAGAAACAGCTGTAAAAGAAAAAGAATCTTTGAACATCATTTTGGATAAGATTTTTAATTTAGCATCATAGGATAATACCAGAAATTGACAATCTTTCTCCTTTATGAAAAAAAATTAAAAATTAAAAATTGAACAGCAAAAAACTTTTATTCACTTTTTATTAAGTGAATACTAGTAGTATTCCAACCCATAAACCAAAAAATAACGAAGATCTACAGAATGCAATGTTCACATCCAACAAAATTGAAATCCAAAAATACATGACTTGCTATGCGTTCTTCAAAATTGAGACAGGGTCCTGCAACCAATTAGAGAGGCAGAACCCACAACCTTCCATCCTTCACTTGATCCACCGAAAGAATCGAGCCTGAATGAGATTGAATAGACGTCCTACATCCACTGCCTCGTTGTTAAACATTCCCCATCCCTGTTATTGCCACTCTGTTTTTCCTTTTTCTTGCTGCAGCGTCTCTTAAGCAGGATATCGGGTCCTGTATCCAGTCAGACCATGAAAATAGACAGCATTTCTTCCTGCTTTTTATCCAGCTGAAGGATCTTAGCTGAACCAGTTCAAGCAGCCTGCACTTGTCCGCTTCTTTTCCTTTAAATATGCTATCATTCCTTGCCAACCACACTGTCCACACTACTACTAACCATATGCACCTCTAGCCCTCTTTTATTTCTGCCACTTTGAGAGCCGAAGAATGCTGTTGGAATACTTTACTCCCTTCTCTGTCCAGCACTGTTCTAATTCCCCACCACCTGAAGCAAGCGTTCCACAGATCAAACTATATAATATCTCAACCCTTTCTTACTTTACAGGACTTAAACCACCCCTCACGCTTGGCAAGGCGTGTGGAAGCAGAATTCAGCAAAAACACCAACTTGACCCCACCAATGAAAATATCTAGCCCAAAAGATTACTAGCAACAGAACAATGTAAAAGTAAATGGCTTGTGCCCATGATAAATATACTCATGGATAATATTATGCCATGATGAGTATATCATGTATATGTGTGTATATAATTGAAATTGAAAGACTTATGTACTCTCACAGAGGAACGGATCACAACTTACAAAATGAATGGGAGAGTGTTGAAGTAGGTCCTCTTGTGAATGTGGTAATAATACAAAGAACAATTAACAAGAAATTAATTGATTGAGTTGGAACCTATTAATTTAAAAATCTTGATTTAGAATCAATGTTAAAGATGTAAATTTTTGTAATACCAACAGTTAATTCTCCAATGTATAAAAAAACAAATAAATAAATAAAAGAACAAAGAACAAAGAGTCCCACAAGAAAAGATAAGAAAATGATGAGTAATTTAAATATGTTAAGATGCATGAAACCAGAACAGTATACCAACTAGTAAAATTATCGTTGTTTTGGCTCATTGTGTTTACATGCTCTGTAACCAATATAATTTGTAAATGTATATGGTTTACTCTAAATAATACAATTTATTGATTCATCTAAAAAAAAGAGATAAAAGATTAGTTCGCTCCTTGACGCAGAAGCAACAACAGCATTCTTCATCAATATCCCAAATTGATCGTTTCCAAAAAAAACATATATGATCATTTCCATTTATTTTCTAAATATATGCCAAATCGCATTTATTTTCTTGGTTGATAAGTGATAACTAACTAACCTCCCAAAACACACACATAAGCATTTCCATTATTTTTTAGGGAGCTAAAGAAAACATACATTGCAGTATTATATATCTAGGGGTTTTGGTTATGGAGCTGGCTTGTTGAAGTCCTTGTAAGTCTGCAGACCAGTCAAAAGAAGACCCGCAATGGCACCGAGGAAGACCAAGAAGCTCCAAGGAGTCCTGAAATAGGTGTGGTAGAGTTGAGCCAAATCACTGGCCCATACGCTGTTGCAGTGTACTTGGATACGACGCTGCAGATGTGAGTACAGATCAGGATTCGGCACCAGGTAATCACTGATCTGGTTGAACAGCCTTGCTACTGCTTCATCGCTTCCTAGTCCGTTATGCAGCACACCGGCAACTCTCAGTTCCTTCACATCCTCTCCTTTATCAATCAAGGAGTCTAGGAATGCCACATAAGTGGTGATCCCGTAGTCGTTTCTGAAATCTGGACACATCTCATATGCTATCAAGTTCAGCAGCTTAGGAATCGTGGAGTCGTCCACCACAATGGGATGCAGCTCAATGGTTGGCATGCAAGAATTGTCGCAGAATTCAATGTCCGTTACTCCGCGCGTCCGGTTATCGTGGCGCGCTTTAAAAAATATCCCATTCCCTTTCAGCTCCGTTGCACCGCGAAATGTGTATTGTCTGTTCTGACTTTTAGAGCAAGCTCTCTCAAGGGTTCCCCAAAAGCCATCTGATTTGTTGACCTGTTGCTGTTTCTTACTTTTCGATTTGACTCCAATCAGCTCTCTGTGCAACAGTGCCAAAAGATGAGCAGGATCTTCTTCATCAGAAATGAATATCGATATTTGTTGGGGTTGCTGCTGTTGCTGCTGCAATCTTTGTTGCGATTGTTGTTGCTGCTGCAGCAAACTTTGTTGTGGTTGTTGCTGCTGCTGTCGCTGCGATCTTTCTTCTGGTTGTTGCTGCCACTGCGATCTTTGTTGTGATTGTTGCTGCTGCCAACTTTTTTGTGGTTGCTGCTCCTCCTCGTTTGCTAGATTCATGGCATTCATTTTGATGAAATGGTGGATGGAATCCATCAAC